GGGGGGGGGGGGGGGGGGGAGATTTGAACAAGCCTCTGGATCATCGTCACCATGGGCAAACCAACACTCGCTCTTCTCTAGGCGCCGTTGTTTGGTGTTCTATCGTCGCGGCTCGCTCGTGATGACAGGACGCACACCTACACGACGTGTCCCGCTGTCGACTGCCCCGCCCCGCCTGGGTCGGGGCGTGGCCAGGCCCGTGCCCATAAGCGTCGTCGCGGCACCGCTACGGGGCAGATGGCCTGGCAGCAGGCAGCAGGCAGCAGGGACCACAGACCAGAGACCAGAGAAAGACTCCGCGGCCGCGATCACCACGACTCCATAAGCAATAAGCGAGCTATGGTCCGCGCGGAGCAGGGGCGCCTCGCAGTCGAGCTGTGCCGCACGGCAGGCGCGCGGGCGGGTTGCCCACCCGCACGGGGCTCTGGGGGAGCTCCTGTCCTCTCTTCTCTCGCATAGCGCGGGGGAAGTGAACGCCAGTCCAGTGGCGGCGAGTCCGATTGGGCCATTCCGTCACTTTCATTACCAAGAGAGGCGTGATCGCATAGTCCCGGACCAGGACCAGCCTGCGCACGGATGAAAAACAACAACAAACATATGAGAGTCCAGCCAGCCTCATTAATCTCAGTCGCTCACTCACTCATTTGGCGTGTCAGAGGAGCGTGTCGCGGGCGCGTTCCCCGTCAGCGCCCGTCCCTCCCCACCCTCCCTCCTCCCTCTGCCCGTGACAATCGCGGAAGTCCGCGCGCATCGCATCAGGACGGGCCGTGCGCGGCCGGCCAACGCGCGCACCTGCGCGGGGCCCTAATGGCGTCAATATTAAAAGGCGCGTTAAGCGTGCCGGCTCGGGAAATGTGAACTCCGCCTCCCTGCCCACCTCCCCCCCCAACCTTCAACACCTCCATAGCAAAAATTGTTTGAGAATTTACTTTCTCCTGCCGGCTGTACAGGTAGAACAAGGCAAGGCGGCGACGCTGCTTCGCCCCCGGAGCAGCAGGCGGGCTGAGGCCGGCGGCGCGGGGGTCGGGTCGACCGGTCCACGTGCGAGCCGCATTAGCATGAAATCGGTCCCAGCGCACCGGCTAGACGCGCCAGCCGCGCCAACCCGATGTGCTCGCCTCCTCCGCCACCTCCTCCTCCGCCACCTCCTCCTCCGCCACCTCCTCCTCCGCCACCTCCTCTTCCTCACGGTGCGGACCAAACCAACGTAAGTGCCAGTGCGACGGCCTGCAGTTGCGGCGGGGGCCCCGCCTCACCGTGCGTCCCGCTAGGCCGGCCGGGGCGCCGTCTCCTTTCGTGCCAAACTGGAGCCGTGTTCGTGTTCGGCTGGATCACTCCCCCCCCCCAGGAAAATTGGACCGCTACACACACGCATTAAAACCATACCCAACAAACAAATTGTTACTAGTAAACTTTTAATATAACGCACGCAAATGAACGATTTGTTCTGTAGAGAACCAGAGAACGAGTATGTAGCCCTCCTGCTAGGACGAGGGAATATGCGACCGTAAAACATCAACCGACACCGGGGTGACGGGTATAACGTCGCCTGACAAGGGGACATTACTGCGAATTACAGCTCGAATGGCGGTGGCATTACGCTTTGCGGTGCCCTGCGCCGCGCCGGCGCTCTCCACGCAGCTCCCTCTGCAGCTGTACTACTGTACGCTGCGCGGCGGCCGGCAGGTACCCCTCTACACTGCTCTCTCTCTCTCTCACTCACACAAACACAAACACATCGCCGTGCGCCACAGGCTTCAAAAGTGTCCCGCTCACGGCCAGGGGCGCCAATGCCAAGGTCCTGCACACATCGCTGGGCGCTGCTTCCACCACGCGTTCGTCTGCCTTCCGCCAGCACGTCGTCAGCGCCCTACCCCGTTGGGATGTGTGTGTGTGTATGTGTGTGTGGTCAAACGACTCGTAGCGCGCGGGTGCTCGAACTCGCGACGGGCAATGCGGCGCGCCGGCCCTGCGCAAGACATAGTTGCGTCGTGCCGGGCTGGCAGCCCCCACGGGCAGCCACC